CCACGTGCAAAAAACACACCATGGGGCGGACTGCGCACAACTAACGTGCCGTCGCGCGTGGGCGCTCTCTTTGCCGTTGTTCTTGTTGCTCCGTGTGCGCTCGCCCCGCCACGTGTTTCCCCATCGACATTCACCTGCCTCCGATTTGCTACTCTTATTATTTGTCCGTAGCAACTACTCCTCAGTTGTGACGTGCGGCTTCATCGCCCTTCTGAGCGGATGTCTTCGCTTTCATTTTCCTTGCCGTGCGGCCGGGTAGAAGTTGGGCCCCGGCCCTCTTGCCGGGCCCGCTTCCTCCTCCAAGACGCGAGGAAGGCGGAAAACCACGAGCTGCGGTTTCCGTGACATGCTATGCCGTTGCCAACGGGGTGTGTAAGGCCGAAGCGAAAGAATCAAAGCTGGGAAAAGGAGCAAAACAATAAAATAAAAGGGCGCTGCCTCCACCCAACGGACGAGCGACGCCGTCCACACGTATTGGCGCCACGGACGGCAAACGGTTCAGGGCTCGGGAGGCCAAACAGGCCGCAAGCGAGCCGAGCCGGTTGCTTGCTGAACTGTCGAGCTCGGGCGCCTCCAACCCCTCCAGGCCAAATTTGGATTGTCCGGCCGCACAGGGGAGCAAGTGCCCCGGCGTCTCCTCGCACACAAGCCGTTTCTGAACCACGGCGTGTTTTTCTTGCACGCCTTGCCCGCTCATGCCGTGAAATCTGCCAACGCGGGCGCCCGGGGAGTGCGCCCGGCGCCCTCTGTGCGCGCCCCGCGCCGGGGTATCGCTGGCTTTGGCTTCGCCGCGTCCCCTTCGCGGTCGTCGCGGCGTCGTTTTTTGTGGGGGCGTCGTTGAACAGGCCCGGGCGGAACCGAGGCCGTGCGCCGTGCGCCGCGTGAATCATAAGCCGCCCCGCGGCTGGCGCAGGAGGAGGCGTCCCTCCTCGTCCTCCTCGGTTTGCGCTGGCGAGGGCGCGTTCGACTCCCGGGGTTAGGCCGGACGCCACCCAGTGCCGCGCAACCCTCCCAGCGTCCCCGACCCGAGAGCGACAGTGGCGGCTATAGCGCGCCGGGGCTCCGGCGTCGCAGCCAGCAAGGAGGCGCCCCGCCCACGCGCGCGCTGTAACGCGTTGGCCGGGCTCCCCGGGCCGCCGCGGGGCTGTCGTGGCGCCTCCGCCGTTGCTGCTGGCGGCGGGGACTCGTGCGTCTGGGGTAGGGGGGGGGCCTGGCCGACTCCTTCCCGCGACGGCGGCCTGGACGTCGCCGGAGGCGCCGGGGCTCTTCTTGTGCGCGGCGCGCCCGCGGCTTGCCACATCTTCGGCCGCTTCTTCGGAGGGATTTGCTTCCCCCATGCTCGAGAAACCGCCGGCATTCCACCGGTCGGCCGGCAAAAAGGGGACCCGGATTTAACTCCACTCCCCCGCAAAGCCGGAGAAGCCGCCACCGGCAAACCCACGGCGCGAGGATTGTCGCCGCACTTCGGCGCGTGCAGCCGTTGGGCGGGAAATCAACTGCATTTGCCCCGGGCCTCCTGCACGCTGCGGCGCCCAAACGAAGCCACGCCGCCGCCACCGAAGGCCAACACCGAGTCGGGTGGGCGGTCGCTGGCCCCTCGCTCCCCTCCTTGAAAGAGGCCCAAACTGCTGGCACCGCGGCGCGGCGACCCGCGGCCTCGCCGGGCCTGCCGCACATTCTTTTGCTTCCTTTCTAGCTTGGCGCTGTTGGCCGCACGCTGAGCACGGCCTTGTGACATTGCGGCCGTCCAGGCGCCTCGCGCCGCGCGTGTGAAAGCCGTCTTTCGCCGCCCAGGTACTTCACCCAACCGTGTCGCCAAAAACGCGTGGCGTGAGCAGCGGCTCGGGCCCGCGGCTTGTCACGAAAGGCACGGGATAGGCGCAGAAAACGAAACGAAACCAGCCCCCATCCACAACAGAACAACGGAATCTGTTGCGTTTCACATCCGCTGCCGAAAGAAGCTCCTGATGCGGCCCAAAGACCCCGGGAACGCCTGACTTCTAAGCCCACCTCCCGCTGAATGCAAGGCTGGCGAGCCACGCCGCCGCTTCTGCGAACGAGGGCTTCCCGCACTCGCTTTTAAATTAAACGAACTGTTGGTAAAAGCGGAGCTCGTCCGCTTTCCGGGGAGTCCGGCCTAGTTTTTAAAAAGGGAACGGGACCTTACAAAATAACCGCAGCCGCGATCGGAAAATAATGAAGCTCCCTCTTTCCCAGAGAGAAGCCATATTTGCGGCGGACCCTCCATTCATCTCTTCTGTTTGGGGGGCGTTTCCTCTTTCTCTGGCGGAGATTTGGGGCTGAAGGGTTTGTTTCCGGCGGACGCAGGAAAATTGAAGCCGCCGCCACGATAGGGCAAGAATGGGCAAAAAGCGCAACTTGCTGGCGCTTCGCTTCCTTCTTTGAGGAGCGCCGAACCATGGCGCCACGGCGAGGCGGCATGCCTCATCAGGGAGGCCGCAGGTGTCTGTTTTTTTTTTTTGGGCGCAGCCTCGTTCCTGAATTCCGGGGAAAATGCGATACATTTCCCGCCCCACAGTTGCGCTTGTGGGTGTGTGGCGCAACAAAAACTGCCCTTGCAATGCCGGCCACCTCACCGTGGTGCCAGGGTCCAGTACCCCGTCCAGGGGGAAGCCAAGAGCCCGCATTATACTCAGTCGCTGTTGACTGGGGCGGGCGGCAGGCTATCGGCAACCAGAGAGAGAGCAAGCAGCATCACCGGCGCTCTGGGGAGAACGAAAGATGAACAGCGCTCTCCTGCGAGTGCGAACGTGCTCTCTTTAGTATTTGCCGGCTCCTCTGAAACGGGGGCGGGGGCGCTGATGGTAGAGCAAGTGCGGAATAAATGTACACTGAAAAAGAAACAAGCAAATAACAAAAAACAACAACAGCTGCAAGCACCAATGCGCACCGATGGCGCGCGGCACGTGCGTAGGAATAACGGTTGCTTCAGAGGAAAAAATAGTAAAGCCGCGGCATGTGCTTAGCGTAAAAAAGTAGTAGAAAGATGCAAAGTATATTTTAGTCACCCTCTCATTTAGCATGGGCAACGTTCATGGAATTTTATTTTTACTGTCATTGAACGCGTTTTCTTTGCAAGTTGCTTTAATGGACCGTTTATGGCGGCACCGTGGCTTAGTAGGTTTTTCTCCCCCTGACCTGTCAAACTTCCAAATCTATATCGCCAAAATAGTTCCCACCCGCGGTGAATGGACGTATGCCTTTGGCGACCCCACGCCGAGGGTGTGGTAGCTGTGCTGTGCGGTTTTTTTTATACCATAGGAGGGTTATGTTCCACTTCTCCTGGGAGGTGAAAAGAAGGTGCTTCGACGTTGTGTTCCCAATAATGGCGACAACTTGGGAAGCCCAGTGCGCCCGATTCGGAAAACTTCTTCTCTTTAGAAAGTCAAACTAAAACCAGTAAAAATAAGCGGCCAAAGATATATATGAGTATATATGCGCGCTTGCGCGTATCGAACGGGAAAGGCGTACCACTTACTGAAGCAGCAATTGGCTTCGCCAGCTTTAAAAGCTGCGTGATTAAAAGAACCATTAGAACTTATTTACGGCTACGACAGGTGCCGTGCTCTCCGTATTATTCCCTTCGCCAATTTTATCTTTTTGCATTTCTGAACCCCCGACAAAACACCTGCGGTTAAAGGCTGGAAGCTCACAGGCGCGCACCCGGCAACCGCACGCCCACAGTCCCCCATGCTGCCCGTGGGGCATTCCGGCGGGGGGCGTCCTTCCGTCGCCCCCGCGGGCGCAGACGCCCAGCCAAGGAAAAAGGAAAAACGCCTAGTTGACAAACGCCGGCCCAACTTTTCATTTGCGGCGTGTTGGGCCATTCGCGAGGCCCGCCGAGTGCCGCACGGCGCATTATAGAAGCGCTCATGCAACTTCTTTTCTTCAGGTCAAGGGTGCTCGCGCGCAATTGCTGCTGTGATTGGTTGGACCGCGGGCGCTCGGCCTCCTTACCCGCGAAAGCGCAAAGCCATTCCGCCGCAATACGGCAGCACACGGCCTCGCCATCAGACCTTCATTTTCACTGTCTCTCCACCAAAAAAGTGGCTCAGAGACGAACGCATGGCGAATTAAAAGAGCGAACGGATTTGCGCGTCTCGCGTCGTTTCGGCATGCGTCGCTTAGCGGGGCCCAGGCCCAGAGGAAGACGCCCACACACGTCATGAAACCCGCCTGACCCAGCGGAATCTTCAAACTCACAGGCGCCGGCGGCCGCGGCTACAAAGCATCCCGGAAAACTTTTTTTGTTTTAGTTATTTGCATTTACGTTGAAGAGAGAGAACGCACGCTTGCTCGTGTGTGGCGTGCCCCGGTCGAGCTGGCGTGACTGGCTCCGATGCCCCTCTGTGGCGGGGCCGGGCGCGCCCAACCATAAAGCACAGGAAGCCAAGGTAGAACGTGCGTTTTCCACCAATGCCTTGGGACACGGTGCTCTACTCCCAAAATATAGCTACTGGAGTTTCCGGCATCCTCGAACAATGCGCCCGCAGCGCGGCAGCTTCCGCGCCCGAGATGCGCCCTTTGTTTCCCACCTTCCGAGCCGTTTCGCCCGAGAGTCGTTAACTTTCGGTTTCGCAAAGGCTTGAGGCAACGATGCTCCTTCACTCGGGCCGAAGATTTTGACACAGTAATACCTTACAAAGGCGCCGAACTAGGCTATTGTTTGTGCCCCCACGCCTTCTTGAGTCTGGGGGCGGCCCGCCCTTTTCCCAGCACCGTGGAACACGCCCGCCCTCCACAGGCGAAGCTGTGCAAGAAGACGGCCGCGGCCTCCCAGGAGGAAAGGGCAGTGATGGAGAAGTAGCTAGTGCTTGTGACTCCGCTGCGCCGCCGCGCGGGTCGGGCGCTCCGGAATAAACGGCCAGCCGCCGCCCCAGATTAAACAGCAAATTAATGAACCTTGGGCACTGATGTCCCATTTAAGGAAATAGGGCCGAAATGGGCTTTGGCCAGCGGCCGCTTGTTGCTTTCTGTTGGATTTTTCTTTCGGCAGTTTACTGTGCGACACGGGGATTGCTTGCAACGACGGCGGCTGACGTTTGACGCAGGCCACGACCAAAGCTTGATTTTCATAATTATTTCGAAGTAAATTATTTTGGCTAAACTTTCTCCTGTTTTTTGTTTCGTGGGAAACCGCGGTAGAAGAAATACTTGCAGTTTTATCCTTCTTTCAGGCCAGCCACTGCATCCACAATGGCCGCCGGCTTCGGCGTTGGGTCTTCTGGCCCCTCCGCGGTGCTCGCGGATGTTACAATAACCCTATTTTTTGGGAACAAAAAATACCCCGCGCTCGATGGAGAGGAAGAATCCAACCTTCGCCGGCAACGGTGGAGCTGAAGGTTGGAGCTCTCACACGTGCCCTGCCAAATGTTGGGCGTGTCAAAGCGCCACTGGTTGTGGCGAAGCTGCTGGGAACCAAAAGCCCCCAGCACACGCTGAAAGGCCCGCCCCGCCACAGCGCCCTACCTCGAAGGCATTGCTAACGAAACAATGGCTTACAGCAGCCCGCCCATTCGCCTAGAGGCGCCTAAAGGGAGAACGGCGCCACCACATCGCTCCACCAACAAGGGGCGGCCGCGGCCTGCCTCGCGCATGG